GGCCGGATAAAAACTTTGTTCTGTTTTTTATATACTTTTATACATTTCATATTAATGTCATTTGAAAATTGAAAAAAATCTAGAAATGTTATATTTTTAAATAATTTAATGTTAATGGTTTCTATTCAATATTTTTGTTATTATTATTAAAATACTAAAATTATATATTTGCAATTACTCATTTATATTACTTTTTCCTCAACGTGGAGCATTGATCATTTTTTCTCATAAATAAAGAACAAAATATAGATGATCCAGGTGGGTGCTAGTAACTTAAGTGTTAACTTTTTTTAGCAGTGGAAACTTTTCTTTATATTTCCATTTCCATTGGTTTCACAAAGAAAGTGATTTTCAAGTTTTTTTTTTTTTTAAGAAACCAGTCACCATTTTTTTAAGGATTTACCCCCCTCATTTTATTCGTAGAATTGGCGCTGATCACAACTATCATTAGTTTGAAGGTTTATTACGGTAATATTTTGTTATAATAAAATATATATTTTAAGATTTGAATTACATTCCAGTAACATAAGCAATGTGTGAGAATTGTATTGATTATTCAAATTTTGTATTAAAATTGAAAAAAATATTGGAAACTCTCAGTAATCCACGTTAAATCTTATAAATCCACGTTAAAAATTTAAACTTTTAAACATTGATCAAAAATAAAAATATGCAATGAATTTGAAAGTGAAAGTCATTTCAGAAACACCGCAAGTTATTTTTAGAAAAAAATGAGTCAAGTACGATATCACGTTATCTGAGGGTAGATAAATACATGTTTCCTTGAAAAATCACATTAGTCAAACCTTTTCTTTTTAGTCAAAGCAATTAGCAGAACGCGTCCGGCAAAAAATAACTTCTTATCTGTGCACATTGATGCTAAAAAACGCAGAAAAAATTACTATTGGTTAATTTAAAGAAACTTTTTGCGGTAAAAAGTTTCTTTAAATTAACGGTAAATAAATTTAATTGATTAATAAATTAATTAATCAGTTAAATTTATTTCAAACAGAAATATACTTAAAAAAAGTTAAAATAATATTTAAGTGAAGAAACATTGGAAATAGTATAACACTAATTCAAAGTTAAGAGACTTTTAGAATTAAAAAAATAAAAAATTACTGTAAAAATAACAAATTAACAATTAACACTGCCCGGTGGGAAATCACGTAGCCAAAAATCAAAAAGTGACTTAATTTAATCATTATGTCTGGTAGTGGGTTTTGATAATAATAATTTGTTAATACCCTCACTAAGAATTTTCCAATTTATGAAATTCTAAATGTGAATTGCTTCTTGAAGTTAGATTTTTAATAAATTTTCGATAAAAACTCTCAAGATACTGGATTTTAGTAATTACAATTTTTTTAATATAAAGATCATTGAAAAATTGAGAATATACACATCATTGAAAAGGTTACAGTAAAAACTGTAAAAAAATAAATAAATACAAAGTTTATTGAAAAAGTTGGTACAACAATTTTTAGCATTGAAAGTAAAAATTTCATCACAAAAACACTAAATTTTAACTTTGATGAAGAACTAAAAAATTGTTTCAATTTGTACTTTTTTTATATTTTGATACTTTTTAGTACATAGTGTCTACTAACTACCCTGAGAAGTGTCTACTAACTACCCTGAGAAGTGTCTACTAACTACCCTGAGAAGTGTCTACCAACTACCCTGAGAAGTGTAGCTGCGATCATCCGCGATCTTGAGCGCTAAATAATTTTAAAAAATTGATGTTTTTTTAAACAAATAAAAAAATTCTTTGAATCAAATTTTTTTTTTTCATTCATTACAAAAAGTAAAAAAAAACAAACTACTTTAAGGCACGAAATTAAATTTGTTTTCCTGTTGTTATTGAAAGGAAAAAAGTTATTTTTTATTTTAATATCATGAACTTATGGTTTTAAAATACAAAATTAATTAAAAAAAAATAATTCTAAGTACATTTTTAATGTCCCACTAATTGACCAAAAACCACATGAATTTCTAAATGTTGTTAAAAAATTTCTTTTTATTTTGTAAGTTTATTGTTGTGAACCATGATAATGAAGGAAATCAATTTAATGTTTATATAATGTTATACTATGTTTTCAGGTTTCGAAAAATACTTTTGAAAATGTAAATAATGGGTTTAAATATATTACTACTAGGATTCAAGTCAGAGAAGACAAAACAAATGTATTAAGAAAGAGATTAAAACTAACTCTTGCAAAGTATGTTGCACTGTAGCATGCATCATATCAAAAAAAAAAAAATTCTTGATAGTATGATTCAAGTTTGGCTTAAATAAGTTTTTAAAACAGTTGATTTAGTTGAATCACCAGGTAATCAAGAGAGTTTAATAAATCAATCAGCAAAAGAGGTCGACAATAAAAAGCCTGATGAATCAAGTTCTCCAACCAAAAGACGATTAGTAGCAAATATATCATTTGATTCAAAAACGGAATCTGTCAAAATATTGTTAGTGGCACAAAGAACAGCATTTAATAAAACGTGACTATAATTAAGTCAAATTACTTAATGTCGTTACAAAGAAAGCGTTACGAATGTTATTGCTTTACTCTCAGCCAACCACATTGCAAGAGAAAATAACGTCTAAAGAAGCTTTTGAATTTTTCTTCGATAACAAACTTTTAAGAAGTGTTTTATGAAAATACCATGCTTTTGAAAACCATGCAAATTTCTATTTTATCGAGTAACTTCCAAAATAAAAAACAAGTGCTCACCTTTAAAAACATCCATTGAAGTTACTGAAACTACAGGATCTTACGGATCACACATCCACGTGGCTTGCGAAACAACAGGAAAAGAAAATTATAAATTCATTGGATTGTAAACTTTTATATCAATGGGTTGTAAACTGTTAAAATCAGTGGGTTGTAAACTTAATATGATCATTATTTTCAGAAAATAAAAGATTATTCAATGAAAGTTGAAACCTGTCAACGAATTTAAGTTTAGTATAAGATAGCTGCAAAAATCTTTTTTTGCCCTCATATTTGGGTGGGGGAGGGGCCTAATTTTTGGGGTATTTTTGATCTAGGGCTTCAATCACCGCAATTTTATTGCAAGTCATTATACTTTGACTTAAGCATGAACAAAAGAAATATATCAAAAGAGGATTTCCCATCCCCTTGCTGCGTCTATAAGCAAGTTAAACACACATATACACAATTACATTAAGTCTCTATTTTACTCAAATAAGGTTTAATATCCACATAAATACAACGATTATATTTTTGGCCACCTATTTCAATAGAATGCTCCCACTGTGAACTGGTGGCGAAAAAGACCGACAGGTTTTACGTCGTGTCACTAAAAAGAAACCATTTTTTTAAAAAGTATTTGTCTTGTAATAATAGAAACGAACTTTTTTTTAAATCCAAACAAAGTGCTAAGAGTAAAAAAAAACAACGACTAATTAGTTGTTTTTGTTTTCATAGATTTTAAAATTTTTTTCTTGTTTTTTTAGTTTTTAATTATTATTAAAATTTAAATATATGCAATGTTAATAAAATTATTCTGTAATTCAGATAAATGAAAAACATTACACATACATTTATTTGCGACACAAGTTTGTGAAAGAACCTGGATTGTGAAAAAATTATAAAAGTTAATACATTAATAATTTGTAAAAAGTCATAGAATTTGTATAAAAATTGACTGTCTCTAAGAAAAGCTTGTTACTATGCACAATAAAGTATCTATAGCAAAACAAAATTAGTACCTAAAAATGAAACACAGACATCATATTGGTACCCATATTAAGTTTTTTGTATAGCACACACAAAAAATCTGCAACTATCATGTAGGTAATGCTATGGAAAAATAGATATGCATAGCAATCTTTATTTAATATATTTCAATAATACAGTTTACATTTTTATCTTTTATGGTGATTATTGATTCTTCGATCTCTAAAATTTGTTGCATTTATAAAATGTTTACCACCTCTGAAATTTGTTGCATTTATAAAATGTTTACCACCTCTGAAATTTATAGCATTTATAAAATGTTTACCACCTCTGAAATTTATAGCAAATAATCACGTGAGCATGATATCTGTCCTAATGTACAATTGTGTGGGATCGCAAGGTAGTGTTTCTTACCACCTGAATTGCTGTGTATATTTGATTCGCTCAAATCAAAATCTTCGTTTTTTCTTTGATGTTTGTTTCTTTATTATGTGCATATATATATATATATATATATATATATATATATATATATATATATATATATATATATATATATATATATATATATACGTATATATATATATATATATATATATATATATATATATATATATATATATATATATATATATATACACAGATACATATATATATATATATATATATATATATATATATATATATATATATATATATATATATATATATATATATATATATATATATATATATATATGTGTGTGTGTGTGTGTGCGTGTGTGTGTGTACACTTTTGTTTTAGGTGCCCCAAAAATACTTATCGGTCTTGTTAAAGAGCATTGGTCTTGTTAAAGAAGTTCACGCCTCCATCCTTACACATGACGCTAAATGTGTCTAGAAAATGTGTCTAAATGTGTCTTAAACTCATTGCCTATTTCTTTTTTGAGGGTGAGGGGGGTTCTATGTGGGGGGGGGGGGGTCTATGTTTCTAGGCTCCGATAATCGCAACTAAAAAACATCTTTATTTGATAATTTAAACATACAAAGATATAGATAAAAAAAGTTGGATAAAAATAAACTAATTGCGAAAAATTCATATTTACAAAAAATCATTTCCAAAAACTATTTTGCAAAAATAAAGTTATGAAAATTTCAAAATATGAATAAATATATTTTATTTATTTATAACCCACAAACTAATAACAAAGAGTTTGAAACTAAACGAAATTTGCTGTTGATTTTTTTTTGTATCGGTAGACGTTTTAAACAAAAGAAGTTTAAAAAAAACATTTTAATTTTTTTGTTAAAAAAAAAAATTGCAGAAGTTTTGTGTTTGATTAAACCTTTTACTTTCTTTACAAAAATTAAAAGTAAAAAAAATATATAAACATATCAAAACTTTAAAATCAGCCTAAGTAAAAAAAAATGATAAAAATATTACCTAAACATAGTAATTTGCAATATAAAAGCTGAAAGATAACAACAATAACGTGAGGAATACAGTTAGCTACTTGCTAGAATGTATAAATTAGAAACTCTTTCAGTTCGAACTCGACTTTCAATCACCACAATCCTGAAAAAATTTCAAAGAATCGGAAAAAACTTAAAAAGTATTATACTTTTATAAACTTTTATTATTAAATCAATAGATAAATGAATAAAATAGAGTTTACTTTATATAAGAGTAAATTCTTGTTTTAGATATAGCGAACCGTTTTTTTATTTTTTACTCTACATTTTAATTTATTTCCCATTATTGTGATTTATTCTTAATTTTAATTTATTTTATTATAACGACTTTATAATAAATTAAAATACTTTTTTTCGCCTATTTTGAAACCTCTAAACATAGATCACCATTAACAAGAGCATTATTGTACAGGAGTGTTATTAAAAGTGAAATAAAAAGTAAGACAGTAAATGAAATTTGTGAAACAAAAGTTATTATTATTTAAAAATTGTTATATTATTATATTATTATTAAATATAAATTTTTAAATTTAACAGCAACACTAAACAGCAACTTGTGATGAACACAATACTTTCAGGATAAATGTTACAATAACAATTTATACTTATTTCCACCGTTAAAAATGATTGTTCTTAATAAGAAAGATTTTATAACACCTTTCCTAAAATATATATTTTTCTATAACAATCTCAAAAATTTAATGGTTTTACAGCAGCAAATTAAGACAAAATATTTACAAAAATAAATGTATTTATTAAAGTGCTCAGAGGCTAAAGATCATTAAGAATTTTATTACAGTCACCAGTGGCAAAATAATGGCAATACCTTTGAACTGCTGTACTTCATAAATATTAAATTTAGAACAATAACAAGTTAAAAAAAAAAAAAATGCAAAAACTTCAATATTTATTTTAATCTAAGGAACTTGAAGATTATAAAAATATTTTTTTTTATAATATTTATCATTATTTCGAATAAATAAGCGAACATTTACGCTAATCGACAACATCAACTTCTGCACAACGATTTAGGCAATTTTTTTTTCTAGCAATGTCCACTCTCTAGTCAAATCTTTAGCTGTACTTATTTAACTGTACTCTAGTCTCTCTTTTTTGTACTCTAGTCTCTTTTTTTTTGATAGAAACTCTAGTCAAATCTTTTTTTGAAAGAAACTCTAGTCAAATCTTTAGCTGTACTTATTATTTTGGCACTCTTACGCAAATATCGTTTGCCGATTCCCCAAAATATCTCAATGGGACGGAACTATGAGCCGTTTGGTGGATTCAAGCTTTTTGGTATGAATTTGATGTCTCTCGAATTGTACCACTCTACGATCTTCTTAGAATAATGAAAAAAAGCAAGATCAGACTAGAACTAACAGGGGACATTGTAACTTTGATAAAATTGTAAAGGTCTAGCTTGCAAGCATTCCTTGATGTGAACATCCGAGTTTAAAGTTGACAATGTGACAAAAGCTCAAGATCTCAAACTGCAGCTGCATATTGCTTGCCACAAGAGAAGTTTCTTACTAAGTTTATCCAATGATTTATACTTAAACTTGTTGCTGACACATCCACGAACAAATGAAGTGTAAAATTTTGGACCTGAGAGCTGTTTGAAGTCACATTTAATGTACGTTTTGTCATCCATAATTATGCAGCCATTAAATTGTAAGCACTTTGTCATAAAGTTTTCGAGCTCGAGTTTTAGCAGTCAGTGATTGCTTATCTGATCGGTTTGGATATTTAATGGCCCGATGAACTTGAAAGTGTTAAATTCCTTTTTCATATTTTTTTATATTTCTTCTAATGAGAAACTCAATGTTCTTGAAATCTTTTGATCTTCTGACTATTCTTCATTCATGCTCTTCCCTTTTTTTATATTGTTTTCTTTTTCCCTATTTTTTGATTTTGTTTCTAATCAAATTAAGCGAGCCCATTCTTTTTAACCCTCAGCCAATACAGTCGTTATTGGCGACTGATGCTCATTGGCACTAGCGTAAAATGGAGATCCCTCTGATTCCTCTAACTACAAACAAAGAATTTTAAAATACTTAATAAACTACATGTGTTGTAATTGTTTAGTTTATATGCTTTTACACACAGTATCGTTTTATCGAAGAAGCATATACTCTTTTTATTAATACACTATTTGCATCATCTTCCAATCACCTGGAAAGTTTGGAATCATTAATCATCCAATCACCTGGAAAGTTTGGAATGTAGAAGGAGCTCAAAAAAAGCAAAAGAAACTTTAAACAACATTAAGTATTTTATGGGTCTGATTAATTCTTTGTAATAACTTCGTATAATTAACTTCTTTTGCCTAAATTTGACTAAAATCGACTAATATTTTTTTGAGTTGACTAAAATCGACTAATATATTTTTGAGTTGACTAAAATCGACTAATATATTTTTGAGTTGACTAAAATCGACAATTTTATATTAAGTCGACTAAAAGTCGACTTAATCTATTTTATCTTTAGTCGAAATATGGGAATAAATATTTTTTTAAAAATAATTTTTAAAAAGTAATTTGTAATCAAATTATTAATTTAACTTTAATTCCCTTTTCATTTTTTAACATCATTTAAATATTAATGGAAAAAAAAAAGAGAGCAGGGCTACTCCAATGACGGGACAATTTATTTCTATGATCAAATAATTTTTGACCGTCTTAAATGCTGACTAAATATCAAAAAATCTAATATAACACAAGAGCTCCTTGATTTTTGCGGCTAGAGCCGCAAAAATCAAGGAACTCTTGTGTTTTTTTAAATTGTTTTTGTTTCCTTGTGAAAATTATGTTGAAAAATGAAAATTATGTTTATGTTGCGTTTGATTAGTCATCAATAATTAAGTCAATGATCAATTAACATAAATTTATTTTATTTATTTATCAAGTCACATGATGTGTTTTAGCATTTTTAATTAGTTAAAAAATTTCAAAATTTGGCGTGCCTCCTTAAAAATCGAATTATACTTAATCGTAATTACATAATTTAAACATTTAATATATAGAAATGTATATTTACCCAAAACATTTTTCTTTTTAAATTTAATATATGGTAGTTTTCTTTTTAAATATTAAAGTAAATTTAATATATGGTAGAAATCATACATCATCCTAGTCATATTTTAAAAATCCGGAAAATTGTTTGAATAAAATATCCGGAAAAAATTTGGAATTTATTTTCCCTTATTATCTTTTTAATTTTACTTTTAGCAAAGTTGTTTTTAACTTTTTTCCGACACTTTTCATAATTTTACTATAAGTGATGAGTGAAAAAGCTTAAAAAACCGAATATTTTACAAAAATATATACCTCAAGTTGCATGTATGAAAATGTTTTGAATATCTGGAAAATTTAAAAACTGAAAAAAATATCCGGAATTCCGAAAATATCTGGAAAAAGATAATCCCTGAGTGATAGCAATACATTCACCATGCAATCATAAAAGTTTAATAAAAATTAATTTTTTTGGTTTCACAAGCCAGCTTGGAACATACCTGTATGAAAGTATTTATGAAAGACACAAGCATAGAGTAAACAAAATTAAAAAAATCAATGAATTTGAATTTAATCAATGAAAGTTTAATTAGGTATAAATAATGCTATGAGATAAAACTTTAAGATAACAAAAAGTAAACAAAAAGCTAGGTAGCACGTAAAAATTACAATAGCACATGCTATTGTTACTAAATGAGCAAACAAAAATTAAAGATTAAAAAAATTAAATTGAATAAAAAAGGTACAAGGATTTTAGATTATTATTTGACTAAATAGAATTTTAGTCAAATAGTAGGTCCATTGTCAATTAAATCTATGACTTCAATTTTAAATCGATTATTTAGACAAAGTCGATAACAACACTAGTCATCACAAGATGGTGTGTACAGCATCACAAGGTGTGTACAGCAGATCAGGATATGAAATATAACACCATTTCTCTCTTATATACATTTAAATAACAACATTTTACTGTTATTATTCAACTACACAAGTGATAAATTTAACTACACAAGTGAACATAATAACATCATGACACAAAATAATGACATTAAGGCTGCTATTTTTAAATTAAATACGACAGCATATATTTTCAGTGTATATGACTGCATTAATAAAAATTTCTATATATCACTATCAATAGAAAGTTTTATATATCAATAAAACTTTTATATATCTCTATATCAATAAAAATTTCTATATGTATTGATATAACTACACATTTCAGAAAATATAACTACACATTCAAGAAAATTATCCAATGTATTTCCTTGTTAAAAAAATTATTTCTTAGCTTTTGTAAATAAGCAAAATTACCTGTCTGACCCAAGTAGCTTATATAGTCTAGATGAGTCTGTAAACTGTGCAGTTACCTTAAAAGCAAAATAAGAAATTTTACTAAATACAAATGAGTTCTCAGATAAAGTTATTGATTAGTCAATAACTTTAAAAATAAAAAAAATAAAAAAAATCACTTAATTACTAGTTACTCTAATGTTGAACACATTACAGTCAAAGTGTGCTTAATTGACGACCAGGTTTTGTTGTTCCACTCTGAATTTTTTTTGCTCCCTAAGGTATCTGCTAAATATTTGTAAAAGAAACTTTTTTGTTAAATCAGATCTATCAAAAGCTGTCATAAAAATTTCTTTTTATAGGCACCCTGATTACTGAAAATGATGGGTGGTTGTGTGCTATAAAAACATTTTTATAATTTTTTTTGTAATTTGATTACATGTTTTTATATTTTTTTAATTGAGTTTTTTAAATATTGGTAGGGATCATCCATAATCTACGCCAAGCAATTTTTGACTGTATTTAACCCCCCCCCCCTTGTAACTCTTTAGTAATAATAATCCCGTATGAGTTGTCACAATACTACTAACCCCTCCCCCCCAAAGCATAATGCAATTTATGGAGGACCACTAAGAGTCTACAATAAAACGATTTCTGGTACAATCCCAACCCAAATATAAATCTAAACTTTTATGTAGTATTTTGTTTCTTTTCTGGTTTAAAATATTTTCTTTGTTATGATTCTCATAATCTAGAACCAATCAGATATGTTTAACAATCTAGAACCAATCAGATATGCTTATCAATCTAAAACCAATCAAATATGTTTAACAACACAAGTATTAATAACTAAATAAAATTAATAAATAAATAATTTATCATTCATAAATTTAACATTTTTAAACAATAAAACAGCAATTCATAAAAAATGAAATACCATATATTACTATATTTTTTTAAAAGTTTTAAAAAAGTTACATATTTATAATATACTGAAAGTTTCATAAATATAAATATATATTAAAAAATCTTTTCTATTCAAAGCTTTTTTTAAACAGGATGAGAATTGTCTTTTGTTACATACATACATCTTTTTAAATCTAGCATAAATTGCCTTGGCCGTTTAGTCAAAAATCTTACCATGACCACAAAATTGATAAATACAAATGAATAGCATGATTCATTACTATGTGGATTTTCCGAGTTAAAAGCAACTTTGTATCAAAGGTTTCTATAAGAACTTGCGTTAATTAGTTATTAACACTTGAGTTTGTCAAGATGAACTTTTAAATGTATTAAATACCTTGACAATATTCTCCGAATTTATTTATCTCCTTAAATAACTCACTACAAACGCACAGATTATAGTTCAGCTATCTTGAAATAATGAGAATCGCCTACCTTTAAAAGTAAACTCTATAATTTTAATTAACACTTACACCACCCTTTAAACGATGAAGTTTCTGGTGGAGGGATGGTGATGTTGAACTACATCATCTAGATCAAGTAAATAAGCCTAAAAAATACTAACACATAAAACAATATTGATTGCATGTTATAAAACTGTTGTAGAACCTCAAACTAAAAAACAATTAATTTAATATAATATATTCTTACAATATATAAAATAAATATATACTTAAACCTATTAAACTTTGGTAATAGATTTTTAACATTATAAAGCAATTTCACCAGCTATAACATATTTATCTAACTATTTATACATGTTATTTACATATACTTTATGTAAATAACATTATTATGGTATTTTATTTCTTTCATCTTTGCTCTATCTTTCAAAGTACTATCGATCTGTATTTATTAAAGATAATTCATATCCATCAGGTTGTTTAATAAGTTTTGTTGTTAGATAAGAGATAGTACTATTAGGTTTGACGTTTTGTTTTTTTAAGACTGTTCTTTCTTTTTTATGAACACAAAGTTTCACATCTGTTAACTTATTTGAATATTTACAGGTGTATAGACAGGTTTATATTTTCGACAGGTTGAATATCAGACAATTGAATATCATGCAGTAATAAAAATCTTATTTTTGGACTAAAACACTAAAACAAATTAATGAACACTAAGCACTAAAACAAATTAATGAACAGTTGTTAAAAGTGTATGAGGACTCTTTACCTTCAAATAGAACAGTAAAAAGATGGGTTGCTGAATTTAAATGTGGTCATACAAGTCTTGAAGATAATCCACGCGAAGGACGTTCAAAAAGTACATCAACATTAGAAATTGTAGCAAAAATATAGGATATGATTTTGGAAGATCATTGATTAACTGAGAGAGATTTAGTAGAAGCTCTAGACATCTCATTAGGTAGAGTGAACAATATTTTGGCTGAAGTTTTGGGTTTGTGCACAATTGGTGCCACATTCGCTAATGATGGAACAAAAACACATCCAAATGTGACTTTCTAAGCAACATTTGAAGCATTTTAGAAAGGATAAAAAGGATTTTGTGTGTTGTTTCATCATCATGGATGAGACTTGGGTCTATTATCATAATCCTGAATCAAAACAAGAGGCTAAGGAGTGGTGCAACTTGGGCTCCAAAGTGAATCAAGGTCTAGAAATCAGCCAAGAAGGTTTTAGCATCAGTTTTTTGGTGCAAAAAGAATTTTGTTAATGCATTACTTTCAAACTGGTAAAACAATAAACTCAGACTATTATTGTAGCTTTTTGAACCAGCTGGAGCCAGTTGGATGTAAAAATTCGTGAGAATATACCTGGTTTACAGAAGAAAAAAATTATTTTTCATCAAGACAACTCACCTTCTCACACAGATCAAAAAGCCATTTCAAAAATTAGTGAATTAAATTACAAGTTGTTGCAACATCCTAATACCCTATTTGCCAGATTTGGCGTATAACGTTTGTCTGATTTCTGGCAAAACAATATCATTTGATTATCACTCAGACCAATTGCAGCTTGTAACTGCACAATAGTTTCAAAAGATACAGAAGCTCTGTTTCTGAGAAGAGTTTTGTTATCTGATACCAACTTGAGTATATATATATATATATATATATATATATATATATATATATATATATATATATATATATATATATATATATATATATATATAACAACTTGATAATCATACAACAGCTGGTATATATACAGTGTTTACTAGAAGATCCCATGTTTTTATATGACTATGCATGTACAATTTTGTTTAGCTGACCTCGGTTTTTAAATAGTTTGATAACTTTTGCGATGTATAAAAATAGTGCTTAAAAATGAAAGTAAACTAAATAATAATGAAAACGAAAACCATAAGCTGAAAAAAGAAAATAAATTTTAACCTAAAAGAAAACAAACAAAAGTAAAAAAGTAAGCTATAAACCAAATAATTTTAATTTATAAGAGTTTTGCTTAATAGACTTGTATAAAGATCAAAGTTTTTAAGTTATAACAAGAATGAATAGGCTGGCGTGGGGTTTAAATCACACCATTTTATGTAAAAATTCAATGCCCCCTATTAAAATTTAAGATTTATCTTTTTTTTTTTGTCTTCTTACTTTTAAGATGCCTTCAATAAAATTTGATACAAGTGAGGAAACAAAACAGATTACATGTTTAAAAAATTTAGGCGAAAGTAAAACATCTACAACAATCTAATTCAGAATTATATACGCCAATATAAAGAAAGAACAATTTTTTCATTCAACTCAAAGTTGTAAAATCTAAGTGTTAAATAACTTGATTTATATTTTTAAATTATAAAAAAATCTGTTTTTTACAAAATGTGAGCCAATGAAACATGAGTTTAAAAATAATATTATGCATGGATATCAATAACTATATAATAAACTATGCCTAGGGCTGCCAAATATCTAAAACCGAGTTTCCATGGTACTATGCTTCATTTGATATCTTTTATCTGAAAGAATAATGGTCAGCTTGCTGTAAAATCTTTCAACTGGAGGGCAGATGACACCAGGGGCCAGGGGGCACATGGTCCCTTACTTTTTTTTTAGAAATTGACAATTTGTTTCGAATGAAGGGAATGTGTCTCCCTCTTTCCACTTTGAAAATCGCTTTGTTGTCACTGAACTGCCCTGTTAGATGACAATAAACAGAAGTTTAACTCAGCTAATAACAAAATATTTGCAAAATAAGCTTTATTAAATTTTCATAAGTTCTGTCAAATTTGACAAGTTAGCTTTAAATAATAATAATTATTAATATCATTAGATAATGCTACTAATTAAAGAAGAACTAAATGTAGCTGATGAAAATCTATATATATATATATATATATATATATATATATATATATATATATATATATATATATATATATATATATATATATATATATATATATATATATATATATATATATATATATATATATATATAGGCTATGTTCCCGTTCTGTTTTTTTTTTATTACTTTTTTTATACTATTTTTATGATATTTATATATACTTTTTTATTTTTATTTTATTACTATTTTTAATTATACATATTTAAATTTATTATTTTATCATAAAAAAATTTATTTTATATTAATTTTTGTTATTTTTATTTCTTTATTTTATATTACTAATTTCATTTTTAACTTCATCTATTTACAAAAATGATTAATTACAATAATATAACTAAATTTAAATTTTGCCGTAACCCTAACCCTAAGCCTGACCTTGATGCCTGGCCTAACCAAACCCTCAGTCAATGTAACAGCACTCCCTTGCGAGTCAGGCTATTTTTTTAGTCAATGTATGTACTTTTCGTTCTTTATAAGAGTTTCTTATGGGTACATTTTTTTGCAAAAAAAATCATGCTTACAGGGACAAAAAATTAACGGGTACACTAAAATGTCCCCGATAATGCTAATGTCCCTGTAAGTGTTTGTTTTTTTGCAAAATCTGTCCCTGCAAGTACTAAACTTTTATATTAACCCAATAATAATAACCCAAGAAGTACAGTTTAACAAGGCTGCAAGCATATATATATATATATATATATATATACACACATAATGTATGTGTATACATATATATATATATATATATATATATATATATATATATATATATATATATATATATATATATATATACATAATGTATGTGTATACATATATATATATATTAAAAACAACTTTTTTAAAAATAATCTG